TTCAAGGGCCTATTTGACCCTTAAGACTTTTTAAAATAGAGGCAAAATAAATGTAATGTTGCTCTAAAAACAAACCACACGTAAAAGGTTCTGCACTTCTTCTTTTGCTCTAAATGCAATGTTGCTCTAAAAACAAACCCACACGTAAAAGGTTCTGCACTTCTGCTTTTGGTATGTGTAGAACCTAGCAGAAAAACAAATTCCGCATAGCAATTACGAATTCAACCAAAAACTGTGATTCTCCCTAGAAGTTTACTCCGTATTAAATAGTTATACTCGGTATTAATTAATGGGAAAAGATGCAAATAGACCCATGTACTAACCAAAAAAAGTCAAATAAGCCCTTATTTAGGAGGTTCTGTCCGGCCGTCGTCATTTGGAGTGGTTCCCGGTAGAATTTTTTTGATCATCTTATTCATGAAGTCTAGTTTACTCATACCAAATTTCAGCTAAAAATTCAATCGGGAAGGCATTCAAATGAATTCTTGAAAATAATTGTGCAGTTAAAAGCGCAGTTATCTTCAAGAATTCATTTGAATGCCTTCCCGATTGAAGTTTTAACTGAAATTTGGTATGAGTAAACTATATTTGATGAATAAGATGCTCAAAAAATTTCATCAAAAAATTCCACCGGGAACCACCCCAAATGGCGACGGCCGGACAGACCCTCCTAAATAAGGACTTATTTGACCTTTTTTGGTTAGTACATGGGCCTATTTGCACCTTTTCCCTTAATTAATCGATGTAAACTAGTTTACTATCCTCCCCCATGTAAACTATTTTACATGGTACAATGTAAAACGGAGCGACTCCGCACACCTCCAAATGTGATGGGCGCGCCTATATTTGCTCATTAATGGACTAATTTGTCCTCTTATTTGTTGGGCGCACCTCTTGGTTAATTTGTTCGTACATCTCTTTGGGTCTGTTTGCAACCCATTAAAAAGTGCTTTTAACTTCTTCTTTTTAAGAAAAAAACACTTATTTTTACCAAACACTACCAATTTTTACTTTCTCGGCTTCCGTGTAAAATCTACTTTTTACTTTTTCTATTATACAAAAAGCACTTATTTTACCAAACACTACCAACTTTTACTACTAATCACTTTTTCCCCAAAAGTGCTTTTATTTAAGCAGAAGTGGTTGCAAACAAAGCCTTTAGCTCTAACGGAGTACTTCGTACTATTTGAGCTCTATTCAACGGAGTACTTCGTACATCTCTTAGATGTTAGACTTTTCTTTTTAGGGAAAGTTCCCGAAATGGGACTAAAACAGTTTGAAAATTCCAAAATAGGACTGACATGTTTTTTATTCCCAAAATAGGAGTAATTACTGCCAAGTTTGGAAAATACTGCCAGGTTTGAAGTCTGGTACTGCCAAAACATGACAGTAATTAGTCCTATTTTGGGAATAAAAACATGTCAGTCCTATTTTGGAATTTTCAAACCTTTTTAGTACTATTTCGGATAATATCCCTTCTTTTTAAGGTAGGGATGTCAGACACTATTATCACTGTATTTGACAATAAATTGATTTTACTTTTTGACCGCCCCTCTATATTTATTGACACATCTACCTTTAAAAAAATAATAAGTATTTTTAAAAAATAATCAAACTCTAATATAATCAAAATTACAAATCCTAACCATCATCAAACAATTACTAATTCCTAGTACGTATAAAGATTTTGAATTTTATTTTAGAAAACAATTGACAATCGATAAATTAATCATTAGATATTAAAAATAATACTCCGTACATGTATAACACTCTTAAATAACCTTGCCATTTTACGTCATCAAAATTGTTTCTCGTAATATATTCGAATTACCTGATTTTACTATTGTCTAAATAACTGTGTCATGTTACGTCAAGAACCTTTAAGCGAGACGAATGTAGTATACTCCATCCATCCCAATATAAAAGGCTCATTTACTTTTTCAAACATGTTTAGGGGGAACACTGTTTGACACTGTTTTGCACTATTTGGACACTGCTTTGCACTGTTTTGTTTGCCAAAAAGGGAAATGTGCCTTGTATATTGGGACGGCTCAAAAAAGAAAATATATCTTTTATATTGGGACGGATAAAGTATATATATATAGGGCGGATCAAATAAGACACATCGAATAGAATCAATAGACATATTGGACTAATTTGGACCGGACTAGGCTAAATCGTACTTAAATAGATCAGACCAAATCAGATTAGAAAATTTCAGTCAAATTAAAAACATTATTATTGGTGTTATAAATTAATATTACATACTACCCCCGTTCTCTTTTAATTGTAACATTGGACTTTTTGCACTATTCACATATTCTACTTTGACTATATTTTATTTATTAATGTATTATAAATTAAAATTTTAAAAAATATTATTAAATTCTTCTCATTTTAAAATTTCAAAATCTGAATTTTTTTAGTATTTTTCACTAATAAAGAATGAAAGATATCGATGATCAAACTTGTGCGTTGGAGAACATGAAAAGTAGACTGTTGCAATTAGAAAAGAACGGAAGAAGTATCTCCTAATAAATTAACTTCTCTCAAATTATATGAATACTTCAAATTTCAATTGAGATCGTCTTATAAATTAATGTTTCTCGATATTAATATAAAGAGTAACACTTTTATATTAAAAAATTATACTTCCTCTGTCCCGAAAAGTTTCGTCAAATTGATTTTTCTTGGTCAACGTTAATCAACTTTGACCAATGATATTTTTTAATACGAAATTATTTAGAGTATGAATATGTTATTTATTCAAAATATTTTTATAAAAGTATAAAATTTATAAATTCTATACAAATATAATAATTAAAATTATTGTCCAAAATTTGTCACCGTTAATCAAGAAGAGTTAATATGGCAAATCTTTTTTAAACGGAGATAGTAATTTTAACCTTATTAATTTACGCTATGATTTATGGCTTCTAAAAAGAAATTATACACGTAATGTACATCCGTTCCATATGATATAGTGAAATATCATAGAATAATATTTAATTTATTGGACATTTTTTTGCAAAAAATCAGAGCAAAATTTAAAAAGTTTCAGTTTTTTTATAACAAATAATGATTTGCCACATCGCACCAAATTAATGGACGGACAGAAATTTTGAAAGGAATTAAAATGGTTAGCCGGTACCCGGTGGGTTGTGAATCTTCAAACTACTACGGAGTACAATTAAGTAGCAATCTCAATCAAAATTTAGAAGGTCAAATTTGTCAAACAAGAGTTACATTAAGTAACATAGAAGGTGCGCGGAGCAACACTGATGTAAAATGTTGTAAAAAAAGTGTCATACAATTTACATCAAATAATTAAAAAAACGGTGTAAAATGTTTACATCCTCACACTTTACACGCAAAGTGTTTACTTTACATTATACCAAACGGGCCCTAATGATCAGTTATTCTGGATTACCATAGTGAACATTAGTCGGACACTCGCAATGCTTACAAATGGCTGGCTGATTCAAATTCATCTTCGTCAATCCGCTAAAAATGGCAACCAATGAACGTCAAGTATGCCCTAATGAGCACTCTTTGGTTTCGCGTTTAATTTTTATCATTTGCTCAAGGAATGCTTCTTTTATTATTCTTTAGATATGTATAAATTTTACCGATAATTCATACTTATATTGACTTTTTAATACAGTTTGTCATCTAATAATCATTCTACTACGTATTTTCTTAGAGTTTGAAAATGAAGCACATTGATTGCTCCTGTTACGGGTGCATGCACATACGTTGGACGAATCCTTCAGTTTTTTTCTACTAGTATGTTTTTTTGAATCCGTAAATAGTCTTTATTTGAAAAAATAAACTGTTACTGGTATGAGAATTAGCCCTACTAAAATTGCTTAAATGCCTATTATGAGAATAAACTGCCTATTTTGTTGTTATTGTTAGGCAATACTTACTTTATACGGTAGTATTTGCTTAAATGTGATGTGCTTGATTGCAACCTATAGTGATATTGTCTGCGTACTTGTGGACTTGTGGTTATCCATCCCCTAACTCTACAGTTGGTCCATACTCCACAGTTTCTGTATATCATTCCATGTAGCATACATAGTGTTATTTTAAGGAAATAATATCATATTTACCTTCCAAATTGTTCGTCATTTCAGATATTTGGGTTCATGATTCATTTATGTTCACCCATTTAATGTACAAACAACCCACTTAACCCACAAGATTTGCCCTTGTAGAGAGAGTTGCATCCTTTCTTAGTGTGTAATTTTTCTATACGAAGCATGATGTCACTTTATAACTGGATTATTGTGCATTGCAGGCTATGGATTTCTGGTTGAGTGGAATTGCTGACAATGGAGAAGGGATAGACATAATAAGTAGCTTACCAGATGAAGTGCTTGTTCACATACTTTCATTTCTTCCTACTAAGCATGCTGTGGGTACTAGTATTTTATCACACCGCTGGCAATATCTTTTTACCGGAGTAACCAACCTTGACTTTGATGAATCACTCATGTTTTGCCACAATGGCGACCACAGTTACCCTCGGCTTAAGGCATCATGTACCTTCAAGGATTTTGTGGATAGGGTTCTGCCACTTTGCAAATCCCCTCGTATTAGCAAATTCCGCCTTAAATGCGAATATGGATTTGACTGTTCAAACCTTAATGCATGGATCACCTTCGCATTACTTCATGATGTTGCAGTGCTTGATGTCTCAACACATGAATACAGTTTAGGAATGTTGCCTTCCTCTCTGTATACTAGTAGGACACTAGTGGAACTGAAGTTGTACGGAAGATTTGGCATCAAGTTTCCAGAACCTGTCCAGTTGCCATATCTCAAGTCCATGCAACTTTTTAATGTTGAATTTTCTGACCCTTACTCCCTTAATAGGCTGATTGCAGGGTGCCCTCTGCTTGAGGATCTTGTTGTTGGAGGATATTGGGAAGATGTTGAAGATATTAACATTTCCTCAGCAAGGCTGACTAGTTTGACTATGGATTTTAGTGACAGTTTTGGCTCATTGCACCACAGATCTAGTGTGGTGCTTGACCTTCCAAATTTGGTGCATTTTAAATATTTCGATAGGTTGGCCAGGAGCTACTCTCTCATGAATCTGAACTCACTTGAGGAAGCTCGCATTGAAGTTTTATTGGACATGGATAACCCTGTGTGGTCGGCTTCTTGTAGTGCTGTTCTTGGCCTCTTATATGGAGTTTCAAATGCCAAGCATCTATTTATTTGTGGCAAATGCCTGGAGGTAGCTCTTTGAACTCTTTATAACATTCAAGTTGTGTTTTGTCCCTTTCCATTCAGAATATGGTTATGTATGCTCACACCATTTGCTATATAAAAGCCCATTCTTGTCTGGTATCTAGTGAAGCTAAACTTTTTCCTTGTTTGGTCATGTTTCTGGGAGGGTCTTGACACTGATGAATATACGTTGCCAACATTCTGTAATTTGCGACGATTGGAGTTTGGCTGGAGCAAATATTTAATATGGAGACATGTGTTGTGTCAGTTCCTCGATAGTGCACCCATGCTTGAGGATCTAAATTTCTCAGAGGTTAGGGGACTTCTTCTCTTGGACTTATTTCAATATTGAATGCTTAAATAGACTGAAACATACCAGACCAACATTAAATAATACGGAGTAATAAACTCTCACATAACATCATACTATAACATATCATAGCAAACTTGTGCAGACCATATCACAAAATTCTAGTCCAAATGGGCAGGTTTTGAGTCGAAATAATAACAAATTTGTATGAGTAATTTTTTTATTTGGCCTCCATAATTTTGGCGATTCCTGTAGGGTCTTTTTCATCGTAAAAGCGATTCTGATGAGTACAGTGACAAGAACTTTTGGGCTAGACAACGGAAAACGCCTGTTTGTCTCTCTTCTCATGTCAAGACCATTATGATAGACTCTTTTCATGGTTTTGGGGAAGAAGTGAAGATCGCAAGGTATCTTCTCAGACACGGTAAGGTTTTGGAGAAGCTAATATTGGATTATGACATCCAATCAAGTGAGGACGAGCGAGAACTAAAGAAACTACTCAAGGCCAAAAGGGCCTCCAAAGAATGTATAATTGAGTTGCTGTTTTGATGTTCAGCGATACATCCCACGATGCTCATTTGTGGTGTTTTTATTTATTTTTTGTCAGTAGCATTATCTTTTACTTTGGTAATCAGTGCGAGCGAATTGGACCTCTGCTGATGATTTTAATGGATTGACATGGAATTATCTTTACTCTGCTAAGTTAGTGCTAACCCTTCTGCTATTATTGCTAATTTGCTGCTGCTGTTAATTTACAAAACGAATACAGGTAGTAGTTGATGTAGAATTAGTTCAAGTTTGAGAGGTGCATGATGTACATACCCTAAATTATACTACCAAACATAGGCTGTGCATACACAAGTTGGGGGCCATGCTAAAAAAAAAAAAAAGTTAGGATTTAAGGTGCCAGGTGGGAGATCCTTTATTCCTTTAGTGCTAGTTGAGACTAATTAACATAAAGTAGGCCAAATGGGAGGTGGTAGATCCCATGTCCCGATCAGCTTTTGGTTAAGACTTAAGAGGGTACTTGAGTAATGTAGAGAAAACGTTGCCAAGGTCGAATCAAGCGATTCTTGGTAGGTAATTTATGGTCAATCGTATTGAAATCTGGAACTTTATGAGGGTTCAAGTTGTTTACTTCTTTAGGCTCATGAAGTTTTTTTACTTTTACTTCATGATGTTTTAGTTTAGCAGATGACTCATGATCATGTTAATACCCATATTACGAACACCAAATTTAGGATCAGCCCATGACTTTACTAGCACGTTATTTGCTCATTGGAGACTTATTCAAAAGTCTCACATCCCGTGATGGATTGAGGGGGGCGTCTGGGCGGCCACCCTTCTTGGAACTTCAATTTTTTTTCTGTGTACTCTGTAATATTTTAATATAATTTTCATATTTTAAATAAATATATAAGAGCTGTAAAAGGAGAAAAACTTAAAATAATTTATCTTGATGAACTATTTTAATTAAGTTTAGATTTTCTTCTTCTTCAACATTATAATGTTATCAGTTCTTGACTTTGACAAATAAATAATAGAAAACTGATATAAGACTTATGATACCAATTGATTTGACACCCTTTTGTTATTATATAAGTATATGGAATTGATTACGGAGTATTATTTAGTACAAACTTTCTAATATGAGTTATTTTGCTATCAATTTGTTTGTTCTGTTTACGCAAGATTTTATGATTATTCTTATTTTATGGGTGTTATTATTCAAATAGCTCTGATGTGATGATCATGATATCTCCTCCCCCAAATGCCCTACTATCTTTCTCGGGCCAAACATGCATTTGTATTATCATGACAATTTTTTATAGGAATTTTATTAATAGAAAATGAGTTCACTCAGTGGCGGAACCAGGATCTAGGGTCAGTGGTGTCAATTGAGAAAATAATTATTATACCAAAATGTGTAAATATTATAAATCAAAATAACAAAAATTTTCATTTATAATATTGAAATAATGCTAATTCAAAATTGTGTATGTCACATTTTCATATTTAAAAGCGGTATACTACCTCTGTCCCAGTAGACTTTGCCAAGTGCAAAGTAGGTGACAGTTGGGCCAGTTGGCGAAATCCAATAGGATGGAGAGAGTACATTTTTTCTATCAAGTGTCGATCAATTGATTCAAACTTTAAAGAAAGAAGACTATAACATCTTGTCTAATATACTAATATTCCTAATAGAGTATCACTTGTCTCATTTCACATGTCTTAACTTTTTTTTTGGGATTATCGCAACATAGGTGTCATGTTTCTTCTTTTAAAAAGAAATATGTGGTCTACAACATTTCATTTTATTATTAATTAATGGTCTCAAACTTGATTAACATTTGTTGAGGTTTATTCCTTCAACCTTCGGGTCCAACACGTAAGCCCAAGGATTTCGAGTGGAGTATGTGTGAGTAAACTAGCTCGACTAACAAATGGGATGAATCAAGAATACTTCTCACTAAGGCTCGTCGGCCGATCGTCTTACAAGGCAGTAGAAGTGCTGCGAGTGAGAATGCTATAGCTAGAGTGCTAAGAATAGAAAGTTGCCAACCCTTTACAATGAAATAAATGCTTCTATTTATACCCACCAATGGGCAGGTGGCTATACTGACGTGGAAGCCTGTGGTTTGCTGGTGTCCCAACCACCAAATCTTCAGCATTAAATGCACTTCCCGCCAGAATCTAGGTTTCCCGCCTAATTAGTGGGGACGTTCGTCCTCCCGGGGAGCGAGCTGGATTGCTCTAGGTGGCCTCCAAGGGGTACTGGTCGTTCGTCCCCTGGCCTTTGTGGATTCTCGCCTTGCGGACTGGACTCCTCCGATGGCTATGGGCTTGCTCTGACGACGTTCGTCGTCATTCCGGTGACCCGTGGCCCTACTCCTTGTCCCTGCATAGACGTTCGTCGAGATGGGCCGTTGAGCCTAAATGATGGTCCCGGATAGGGTAAAAGTCTAGAGGGGGGGTGAATAGACTTTTAAATCTTTTTCAACTTTTTGAAGTTTTTCCCTCTAGATGAATTGATCTATAATCTTTTGAGAGATTAATAGATGCACAGCGGAAGTCTTTACCCTTTTTCTGATGAGTGTGTGACAACTTTCTAGCTTGAACGATGTTTGGACTTTAAACAGTGAGCAGTTGGCTTGGCAGTTGCCTAGATGGCAGGAAACTGCTGAGGCAACTGCTAGTGGAAAATAGGAGTTTGAGAAAGATGATAATATGGCCTTGTAGAAAATGATGAGGGCTTTCTGAATATATGTTGAGCTGAAGGTAGTAAAGAGTTTTGCCTGAGCAGTGGTCTGAGCAGTTGGGTAATCCCAGGAAACTGCTAAGCCGTCTGCTGCTTATAAAGAGGTATCTTTGAGGACTGACCAACCACACCTTTTAGTAGTGATATTCAAAGCTTGTGGGAAACAGATGTCTCAAGGAAAAGTGAGTTATTAAGCAGTAGGATAAGCAGTAGAGTCAATTAAGACGACTGCTTAGGATGCTGCTGGCAAACTACGATCCCTTTAGTGAGAAGTATTGGGTGTGTGCTGTGGTGAGTAAAGGAGAATCAACACACGATGTATCCTGGTTCAGAGGTGGTGTAATCCTCCTACATCCAGTCCCACCCTCTTTCAGATGGATTTCACTAAAGTATTCAGCCCAATACACTTAGTGCCAATCTAGCCTTTACAACACTTAGGCCTAGATTGAAGGTTTTTCACAATGAGTATAACACCACTCAAAGTTACTCAGTCCTTAGACTTTTCTCAATCGATCCAGTGGGGATCAAAAGGTACTCTATCTATCTACCCACACTTTAGGATCCGAACAACTGTTCTCCTAAGTGTTTACAACCACTTGTGTAATGTTTACAAGAAAGTTCTAACCTCCAACTATGAACTAAGCTCTAAAAATGTGAAAGTGTTGATCTAATCTAAGAGCTTAGTGAAGCATGAGGCTAAGCAGAGAGTAAAGTTGAGTTTGCACTTTCTCTTTTGCTAGATAGCTCGTATATGCTTTGATGAAAGTATTTCTCTACTTAGGATGCTCAAGCTTGTTTTTGAACTCATGCTTCTACCTATATTTATAGGCCTTCATGGTTGATTAATCTCATCCGTTGGTTGAGATGGATTAATCTTGTGCGTTGAGGGTCTGGCTAGGACGAATTGTACATTCGTCTTCTTGTGCAGGAGCTTTTAATCTTTTTGTTTTCTGTCTTGAATGATTGGGCTGCGGTATGGGTGTGTCTTCAGCCGCTGCAGCTTCACTCCAAGAAGTCCTCCCATGCTGTAGGACCATGTATTTAATTTTTGTCTTCCAATCAATATTTAGTGTATTCGAGCATCTCAAATGTGACCTATATTTAATCTTTAAGTAAAATGATATATGCCGGTAGGATTTAAATATCCTATAAAGGTAAAAAGATACCTTATTGCATTTTTATGTATCCGGTAATATATCATTAATCTTAAAGATTGTACATTTATTTTTGTCACTTATGATTAAAATGTTACTTCTGAAAATAAGACTCAATGTAAATTTGTTTAGTATAGTGGCATCATCAAAATCTATCAAAATTGGAGACTAACAATTTCCCCCTTTTTGATGATGCCAAAACTATACAACACAAGAAACAACTGTTTTTATTGATTCGTATTGAGAGTATTGTACATTGGTCTATAGTCTAAAGTACAATAGTTTTTAGTCACTTTCGGACTTGAGGACTGATCTATTCTTGTTTCTTCTTAGCAGCTTCTTCCTTGGCTTTGGCTTCTTCTTCCTTTCTTCTTCTTATCTCAGCTTCTTCTTTGTAGAGTTTGTTTTTCCTTCTTGTTGCAGCTGCTTTCTTTGCTGCTGCTGATCTGGAGGAGGAGGGACCTACTTGAGTTGTCCTTTCCCCCTTTTTGGCATCATCAGCAGGGGTCTCACTCTCTTGGAAGAGTGCTTCTATTTCTGGGTCAGAGTCAGGATCGTCAATTTGCCTTCTTGATGGATCCAGACCATATACTTCGATGGACAGGGCCTTGATATGATTATTGACGTCCAAAAGATCTGTTTTGACCTCATCTTTGACCTCATTCTCTAATCTTTGAAGCTTGTCCTGTGTAGCTACTAGGCTCTGACCTAGTTTCTGAAAGTCAGACCCTTGCTTCCAAAAGGTGTCCTGAGTAGCCTTTTGAAGAACTTGAAAGTTGTGAGCGATGTCTTTAGTGAGCTGTTCATAAGCTCTAGCATGAGCCTGCTGGTCCATAAGGAATTTCTGAGAGAGCTTGAACATGGCAGGGAACTCCTCATTCCTTAGTTTCAGGAGGTATTCTTCATGCTCCTTCACCATTTGGAAAGTCTGCTGAAGATGAGGAGGTAAGGTTGGGAGAGAAGGCAGCTGCTCAGAGGTACCTGCTGCAGTAGGCTGAGCTTGTTGCTGCTTTTGAAGTGCTAGCATTTGTCTTTCGAGGTCCTCATTCTTGGCTTTTAGTGCAGCAATCTCCTGCTTTATTTCATTGGTCAAGGCAGAGTGCTGAGAGTTTTTGGTTTGGAGTAGAGCTCTCTGCTCAGCATTGAACACTTGTTGGATCATTGAATCTCTTCTGATGTGGCTGTGGACTTCTCCAAATCTGATATCTAGCCTTTCTTCTAGTTGCTTCTTCATTTTGATGAGTCTCTTGTGCAGTCTGACCTCTGCTCGGCTGATG